CACCAAGAGATATGTATTGCCTCTGCCACGTAGCCAATTTCTTTTCAAATTTTTCAACTACTGCATTCCATATCTCAGTAGACTTGTATTTGGCACCTAAAGGAAGACCCAGATATGTGGTAGGGAAGGAGCCTGTATTACAACCCATAATGTCTGCTAGTTCTAGCAAATTTGGTACCGAGTTCACTGGGTAGATAACACTTTTGAGCATATTAATGTGCAGGCCAGACATAGCTTCAAATAACATAAGAGTGATGTTTAGGTGAAGGACTTGAGACTTTTCTGCTCCACAGAAGATGAGGGTGTCATCTACAAACAGAAGGTGTGACACAGAAATAGGAGAGCTCCTGCTATTACCCACTGAGAACCCTTCAAACCATTGTAGTTGTTTAGCTTTTTCAAGCATTCTACTGAGTCCCTCCATAGCCAGTATAAAAAGGAAGGGTGAAAGAGGGTCCCCCTGTCTAATCCCTCTCTTTGGAGAGAAGAATCCCACTGGGCTTCTATTAACAAGAATGGAGTACTTGACTATAGTGATGCAGTATCTAATCCACTTGATCCATTTCTCTCCGAATCCCATTTGTCTAAGTATTGAGAATAGATAAGACCAACCCAATTTGTCAAAAGCTTTTTCAACATCCAACTTGAGCAAAAGTCCAGCTTCCCCCGTTCTCATTTTCCAATCCAAAACTTCATTTGCTATAAGAGTAGCATCAGTTATTTGCCTCCCCTTGATAAAAGCATTTTGATGACTAGAAACAAGCTTCCCTATCACCCCTTTGAGTCTTTCAGCTAGCACTGTAGCTACAATCTTGTAAATGCTGCCTATGAGACTTATAGGTCTATAATCTCTTAGCTCTATAGCTCCTTTTCTTTTAGGGATGAGTGCAATAAATGATGCGTTGAAAGACTTAACCATGTGGCAGTTTTGATGGAAGTGGTTGATGGCGGCAAGTACATCATGCTTAATGGTATCCCATGACTTCTGAAAGAAGGTCATTGTGAAGCCATCTGGACCGGGGCTCTTGTCAGGGGCACAACTGTTTATGGCATCTCTCACTTCATCTTCTGAAAAGGCATTCTCCAGATCCACCCTTTCTTCATGTGTTAGGCGCTCTAGACCCTCAAAATGTGTTGTAGGTCTCCAATCCTCATCCTCAGAGTATAGATTCTGGTAGTAGTCGAGTATTTTACCTTTGATAAGATCTTTGTCCTCAATGATTTCATCGTCCACCTTTAGCATGTCTATGCAGTTGTATCTTCTGTGGGAGTTAGCAACTTTTTGGAAGAATTTTGTGTTCCTATCCCCTTCTTTAAGCCACAAGCACCTGGATTTTTGTCTCCATGAAATCTCCTCTGTCTTTGCCAGGTGCTGTAGTTCAATCTTTTAAGTTCAACATCGTTGTTTTTTCAGCTTGGCTCAAAATCCTGCCTTCAGTTAGTTGCTCCAGTAGCATCAGTTCCTCCAAAGCTCTGGCTTTCCTTGTTTCTATTTTGCCAAATACTTCTTTGTTCCATATGGCTATGTCTTTCTTCAGATGTTTCAGCTTTTGGAAAAGGATAAAGTCAGGGGTGCTATTAACCGTGTAACTCTGCCACCATTCTGAAATTTTTTCCCTGAAACCCTCGTGTTGTAGCCACATATTTTCAAATTTGAAGTAGGAAGGATTTGATGACCAGTCACCACTTTCCAACACTATTGGCCTGTGATCTGATATAACCTTTGGGAGAGCTAATTGCTTCACAGAGCCAAAGGTGTCATTCCATTCATTGGAGATGAGGAATCTATCAATCCTAGATGCTTGAGCAGAGTCTTCTCCCCTAAACCAGGTATATGTGGCTCCCTGGAGTGGGAGATCAATCTATTCCATCTCTTGGATGAAGTCAGAAAAAAATTTCATAGCTCCGGATCTTCTTATGCAATTGAACCTTTCATGCTCAAATCTACATACATTGAAATATCCGCCTATCACCCAGTGTTCACTCCTTAAGCCCCTTATGGCAGACAATTCCTCCCAAAAAACCGTTCTTTCCCAATTGGAGTGAGGCCCATAGACTCTAGTGAAGCACCACCTAAGATCCATCTGTACACCTAAGATCCATCTGCCCGGATGGAAAGATTTTCTCTTGCCACCCTTTTGGTTTATCAGATTTTTAGCTTATCATAACTATACTAGACCTCTATCATAACAAACCCAACTAAGTATCCTCTTATCTTCACTTAGTAACCACTGTTTTAGCTCTTCATCCCTGGCTCATATTCCATTTACTTCGATGATGACTACCCTGCATAATCTTCATTCTTCACATCTTCTTTCCATTTCGTTTTCCTTGATTTGAGTAGCTTCTATTTTTATTTTTATTTTGGTTCTTTTTTTTAAAATCCCGCCCCCATATGCCCCCTCCCCTCTCCGCAAAGGCAATAGTGGTTCTTCCACTTCCCATCCCCCTCCCACCTTTGGTGACTCAAGCTTCAACTAATGGTTAGAGGTGGAGGGATTTTTCCCCACTTTTTTTCTTTTTTATTATGCTTAATGGCACCAGCATCACTTCTCGGTCAATGAACTACACCATGCTATTTTTCAAAATTTTCATTTCACAAGGTAATTTATTCGGATACAATGTACCAACCTTGATAAAGAACTTGACAATCCCAAGAGGGTTGGAGTAGTTAAACTAGAGGAGTTGACCACCTTCATCTCCTCTTTCAATGCGCCTTCCCGTAACCACTGCTCCATAAAAGAAGTTCAAAATCCTTTTGTTTATATATAAATTCATGAGTTTAGGCTATAAACACTATCAGTGTAAGGAATTTTTTTACACTATCAGGTCATCCAAAGGATTATCTACATATAATTCACCTTAAAATGTGGGATTTTTCTTGAAAACAAGACAGATTGCATGCTACAACAGGTAAACATGACCTGATGGTGTAAAAATTCTTTACACTGATGAAGAATATAACTTAAGCTCTAAATGCATACACTCAAATATTAGATAAAGCAAACAACAAAGTAGACACTTACTGTTAGCCAAGTGGAGATAGAGCAACAAAATGCCCTCAAAGTGGGTGGTGGTGAAGGCACAGATTTTTCAACCTTATGAATTCTAATCTCAACCATTTTCAAGCAAGTTGCTGCATAAGTGAACTGATTAAGTACATGATAAAGACTGGTATGTGAAAGATGGCTAACGTATATTCCACTCCGCACACAAAAACGCTGCCCTAATTCATCCCAATACAACAGCGTACTCGTAAAACCTTGTAATATTTGCAGCACATTTCGCACCTAAAGAGAAAAAGAAAATCAAAAATAGTGAGGAAAAAAGAGGTAATTTAAAATGAAAACGTTTTGCGAATTCAATAAATCAACTAATTGAGGCCAACACTTACTAAATCAACTTCGTTAGTTCTGAAGGAGGAAATTGGCTTAGCAAAATGTATGCCGTCGCAATAAGAAGTGTATAATTTGCCGATTAAACTCTGGGGAGCTTCCATAATTAGTTTTGAATGTTTTTATGGATCTATATTCAGTTTGGAGTTACGAATTGGTTCCATGTTCGGAGTTCGATGGAAATTCTGCCGCTTTAAACTTTAAACAGATTGAAAAGAAGGAGAGTCGAAGGGGGAAAGTGTGCTCTCAATTTTCCAAATTTTAGTTTTTCTTTTACTTATGTGTTCCATTTTGGAGAAATTTTTATATGCTTAAATAGTAGTATACTGATGTGGCAATTCAAAACCAGTGATATTACTGTTCAAATTGTTACTATTTCTCTATCATTAAATAGTTATGTTGGGGAAAAGATAGCTGTGTGGAAACTTGGAAATTGGAATGATGAATAATTCTACTGAATAAAAGAGAAAAACTGCATATAATTAGTGAGAAAATCCCAAATAAATAGTAGTAGTATCATTTTATTATAAATAATGATGAATCCATAATACCTCAGTGATACAAGAGTACTAGAGTAGGTTAACTAATTTTGTCATATGTTTGAATCCTACTTGAAAAGATTTTTAGTTATTGCTTTCTTCCCTTTTTTTCTTTTCTTTCGGAAGAAATCCTTTGAATGCTTATTGAATACTATATATTTATGTCGTTTTTTATTTAAAGATCTTCAAATCGTGAGAAAGTATCGCTTTTGTAACACTTTATTATGGTATAGTCATTTCTAGAAATGTTAATGCGACTTTTTTTACATGCGAATTAAGCATGAGTTTTTTGTTTTACAAAATAATTGGATTACAAATTTAGAAACCAAAAAAAAAAAAACGAACCCAGTGTATTCCCATACATGGGATCTGGGGAGAAACTAAAAAAGGTAATATAAATCGCTAATTTTGTAGTTATGAATATTTAAGAAAAGTATTTCAAAATGTAGTGAAATAAACAACCTTTGACTACAGAAATAGTAGTAAATGCACTACATCGCTTTTATACAAGCTTTTTAGTTATAACAATCTTCTTTCAATTTTCAAAGCTGAACCATAAGAGGGCCCTATACTTAGTAGTATATTTTAATAACTTACTCCTCAAAATACTACTAATAAAAGAATACAGTAAGAACATTGCCATTGAAACTTATTGTCACCTAAAGAATTGTATCACACAGGCAATTAAAGATGGAAGAAGTTCTCTAATAGTCAAAAAAATTATGTGTAAGAATTACTCTTAATTTATTCAGAATTGTTTACACAAGTTCATAATAAAACTAATGAATTTTACCCTGTTTAGGATATCCGCTGAGGAGATGGATTAGATGTCCTTCAGGTTGGCATTAAGCACAACAAAAACATTTACATCCACAAAAACCTTTCAGTTTTGTGTACCTAAGTCATAATTTCAATCTAAGTTACACTATTAACTTCAGAATCATCTTTATGAATCTGCTCCAAAACTATTAAAGCCTTTGATAGCTTCATAAACAACATCAATGATACACAAAGACGCGGATGCATATGGAATTGCGTTGCATATCTTTCCCACATATGGCAACATTCTGACTAATCATCCGACTGAAGTTTTGTATCTAGGTTTCCTGATCTGTACACAGTTTTTACCCTCTAATTTATTTATTTATGATCTTATACAGATGTTTGGTGTTCCCTTTCTTATGTTCCTACAAGGACTTCTGTTTTCAGGTCCCAGGGGTAAGCTACTAGGAATGCTTGGGGGACTGGCTGCACGCGAACTTGAGTTCAGCTCCAGTGAAGAAATACAGGGAAGGACTTCAAGTGTAGAACGGGGAGAGTGGTGAGAAGCTGCTCCGTACTCACAGGTTTCAGGATGAGTTTGCTGGCAATTTTCACTGAAAGAGCACAGTTAAACTTGCATAAGCTAAGTCAACAGGGTAACGCAAAATATAGTATCTAGCTGGAACTATTGGTATTAATACCAAAAGAGGGGAGTAATCAGCTATTTCACAGAACAAAGTGCCCGAGTATATCCCAAACATGACAAACAGAGAGAGAGGAAGTACAAAAAAGTTATTACCTGCTATATGGTGATTTTCCATGCCTGGCGGAAGTTCCTGGTAAAAGTGGCTTTAGTTCCTTTTTATGGTTAGTTGGGTCCTTAGGACTCTGCAGAGCATCCTAAAAGTGTAACAAATTCAGAGTTTGAAACCATTTGAATTCAATATTCAAGTAATAGGAGGAACAATAAAAGTAGAGAAACTGATAAGCAGTACACTAACGTCACGTAGTCAGTAGCATGTAACACTCACATGTAATTTCATCCCTGAAAAATCCTCTGAACAACCAGCAACAGTATTACGTAAAAAAGCATGCTCGAGTAGCATCATAGCTGATGGCCTATCTGCAGGTTTCCTCTGAAAGCAGCACCAGAGGAAATCCTTCCCTTCTGAAGATAATTTTTCTGGTATAGGTGGTGATTTGTGCAAAACACTGAACATAGCTTGCACCTAATAAGACAAAGCACGAACATTTAGACACTTACAGAAATCAGTTCTAGAACGCCCGAAAACCGAAAGGTAAGAAGAAAGTGAAATCAATTCTAGAACGCCCGAAAACCGAAAGGTAAGAAGAGAGTTCTGGCATAATTGAGACTAAGCCACTGGATCATGACTAAGTAATCAGCTAGCCTTGCTTGTATTTTCCCAAGCTATGATGCTATGCTGACAACCTAAAGCTCACCAATATGTTTACACTTGTAACATGAATACATTGTTCTCAAATGAGATGAATTTAAACACTTACCCCATTAAATTCACCCCACGGGGGCTGTCCATTAAACATCTCAATAACAGTGCAACCAAGGCTCCATATATCGACAGCAAAGGCAAGCTCTGGATTGGCATCTTTCCGCAACACAGCCTGCATTACCTGCATATGAAGTGATGGCCAGACATAAGCACANATCCAATGAGGGCTCCCTTTCAGAGAAAGATCAGTTGCACAGCTGGAAAGCTGGGAAAAAGAGAAACAATATGAAATTATAGCAGTATGGGAGGCATGGAAAAATAATTGATGAAAGATTCTGCTTATCGTTTTGTCTACAGGTTAGGGTTTACAAGAAAACACTAAAAACACTAAATTAGTACAAACAAAGAAACTCTAGCAATTTTAGTTTGGCATTAGAATTCTGAAAGCTTACATGTTTTGCTAATCCAAAGTCTGCAAGCTTGACAATGCCAGATGCATCTACAAGCAAATTTGCTCCCTTAATGTCCCTACTCAGAAGAATCATTGAAATCAACCACTAGACTGAGCATCACTGCCAAGGTAAAGTTAAAAAGAAAACAAAGCTTTTTTTTTGTGAAGAGAAAAGGTTCTTGCTTGCTTATGACATGGAATTGCAATCCAGAGGCTTTAGTGTTCCGTTAATGAATCTTTAAATGAAGTGTCATTTTCCACCTTGGTGCAACCCAGTATCTACCTGTGTATTGTCTTGGTGCTATGCAAGTAAGCCAACCCTGATACAATATGCCTAGTAAAGTTTCGAACTATTGATTCTGTCATAGCTCCGCAATGTTCCCGAACATACTTATTAATTGATCCGGGGTGCACATATTCCAAATATATGCAAAAGCGGTCCTCCATCTGAAATGCCAAAAGCATTTTATCTTTCAATATTCTGAAGAAATGCCTGAATGGCAAAAGAACAAGAAAGATAGGTGTTCTTACTATTTCACTACCATAATATTGAACAATATTTGGGTGCTTTAACTGCCGGAGAACTCTTATTTCCTACAACAGAAGTAAGCAAGAAACTGAATTGATTTAGAATAGCATTAACTGGCGAAAAACACGCCATAGTAACTGCAATCCAGTGCAAAGCTTCATCCTTTCAGAAATCTAGAATGTCATAAAGTGTGTATAGTAGAATGGGAAATACTGCAATACGAAACCTCAATTTTTATCCCCAAGCCGGTTACCAACATTCTGAGAAAAAAACTCTAGCTGATGAAAATGTGAAGGAGGTTTATGAAGTCAAAGAATGTGGTCAACAAAAGTAGCTCTATGGATACATTATTGATTTTGCATCTTCAGGCACATGATAGTTATCTCAAAGGACCTTGATTTGACTAATTTGCTAATGCAAGTTAGAGAACCAGGACGTAGTATATAACATGCTTATTACTTATTTAAAGTTCTCTTCACTTCATTTACAAAAGATTTTGCCTTTAAAATATGTTTTCTCCCGCCGTGTAACTCAAAAAATTGTAATTTACACACAATTTTTATTATGTAGACTAAGAAGACATGAGGAAATCACCTGTTCTAACTGCTTTATACATTCAGCAGATTTAGGATCATCAGGAGTAAGATCAACTTCTTTTATTGCACATAAAGCACCGGTTTCACTGTCAAAAGGGAGAAAAAAAAACAGAAGCGAATGTTACATTCCTACCAAGTTACTTACCAAGCAAACTTTATTGCTTACCGGTTGGTAGCTTCATATACACTTCCATATGTACCACGACCTAAAAGCTTCCCCTTTAGCCATTGACCCTTTGTTGGTGATATACACGGTTTATCCATATTGCTTTGGATGGTACATAATTCTGGATGTCTTTGAACTCCTGGTGGAAGGGGTAGCGGGTGGACATCGATGTTATTACCTTCAGTCCAAGCCAGAGAACTTTCCGGAAGAGATTTATGATGAGAATGCACAGCACTACTTCTGTGATTCCTGGTTCTATTAACTGGATTTGGTAATGTTGGGCTACTTAGTGGAGAATGATCAGCACTGTTTATAACCCTTGTGGGTGAAAGTTGGAAAGAGTAAGCCTCTGAAGGTGATGACGGCTGATGAAATGGAGGTTGGAAAAGGTCCTGTGTGCTAAACCTTTTTGGGCTTGGGACGGGGCTCGTAAAACCACTACCTGGAGCACTTCTAGCAGGAACATTCAGCCTGAATTCAACACCCTCAGCATTCAGATCCTGAGGGAACCTCCTACGTCGGTAAGTTGGAGTAGATGATCTTGGATGCTGAGAACTTGTCACCTCCGCTGGAGTCCGATCAGAAGTATCCCTGCAACTTGCAACAGGTTAACAGTTCTGTATTCGTTTTTTCTTCTTACAAACTCATCATAGCTAATCAAACATTATTATCGAAAAACAAAGTAGCACACTTAAAGTCGTCATTTGAAACGAAGACCAAGCAAGACAAAATTAGAATTGTTATATGTCCTTAATGTTAGATATTAAGGAATTTAAATCAACTAGTACGAGTGCTCTTGTTGGTTCAACTGAATCCATTACTTTTACCTCCAATTATGTACATATGTCAAAAGAAAAATGGGGGTAAAAAATCACTCCCATAGTATTTTCCCAAGGAAAAAATTAAAAGGTATCACATCCACGGGCTTCAGACTGGATTTGCCTACCAACTACCTTCTACTTCTAGTAGATACCTTTGCACACGAGTTACTCTAAGGCCATCTCCAACCTTGTCCCCATCCCCCATAATGGAGAAAATATTTGGGGAAATTTAGCTCCAACCCACCCCTACTTTTGCCCCCAAAATGGGGATGAATAGTGTTCCATCAAATATGGGGTACACTATTCATCTCCCACATTACTATTCATCATTTTATTATTTAATCTTTTAATTTATCTCTTTATATATACCTAATTATGTTTATGTAATGTATTTATAATATTAATATTAAATCTTAACTTTGGTGTATAATTTTGATAAATTAATTTTCGTGCATTTATTATTTTTATATAGAAATGGCAGTAGATGAAAATCAACGATTTCAAGAATTTTTATTTCGACATAGAAGAATTAAGGACAAAGATGCTCATTTTGCACTTCGTAATGCATTAATAGATCATTTATGGGAGAATACTAGAGGTTGAAGTTGAATATTTATCTAGTATTTCGAATGAATTTTATCGTTATGTAATATGTATTTAATTAATCTTGTATCACAATGATTTCACTTTTATTTGAATTATTAGTTAATCTATAATAATTGCTTACAAATTATATTATTTAAAATT